GACACAGAAACTTGAATTTTTTTAATCTGGCACCCCGAGCCAAGCTTGGACGCGTTGCATGCCGAAATGGAGGTCGTCCACTGAGCAGCGTCTCAAATACGCCCTGCACTTTGAGCTTAATTATCTCGGTTTCTATAAGAGGTATCAAAAATGTGTCAATTTTCAAAGTATTGAAAATTATTGTTCATAATTTCACCAATATTTTATCAGTTGACAGATTTTTGATATCTTTGACAGGAACCGAGATAAATGGGCACAAAGTGCAAGTATAAGGTGACTTTCCATTAGGGTTTTACTGTAATTACATACATCAGTGCAACGAAGCGCACTTTCTTCAGGTGTCTGTTTGCAAAGAGTTTGCGAAAATTCTAGCTGTAAGCTACCCAAAACAGTCCAATTAGGTGCACGTGGGGTCGCAATCTCAATCTTGTCACCGGTTTTCAGAAACCGAATCATCGAATTTCAATGGAAATGAGCTGAATAAATTGTTCTCAGGTCTGCACCGAAATTCGTGGTCCTCACTTCTCTTATATTACCAATGATCTTCAGTTTCTAAAAAATTTAAAAATAGAACAAGAAATAGTTAATAATTGAGTGAGGTGGTGGTACACTTTTAATTGTTTACGCAAAAGGGTGCAAGATGAGTTTCACTTTAAAATGTTAACTTTGGATTAGCGAGTTTGGAATGATGACAAAAAGTTAATAATCTATGGTTTGTATTAAAAATTAGAAAGTGCTCTTAAAAACCTGTAATAGAAGAGCCTGTCAAGTTTGAGCTAATTTTTCTTGGCCCCTATGCGAGGTAGCGAAAATTTGTCAACTGATAAAGTGTTTGTGATACTATGATAAACAATGTATCAGTTGTCAACTTTTTCATATCTTTAACAGGTACCGCGGTTCTCAAAGTTTATCTTTGTAGTTCACTTCACACCTTTTCTCCCAGATGAAAGTTTAGTTCAGTATTTCTAGTCGAAGCACTTATCCTCGAACCAAGAACTTTCTGACCCGAAACTTTTGGGCCAGAAATCCTCTTCCGCTAATTTGATCCGCTTCGCGTGAAAAAAAACGAGCAAATATTTTTTTCCAAGAACCCAACATGTATACATCCTTCCGTTTTTTCTCTCCTACTGTATATCAGAAAGCCAAACACACATTCTAGCCGATTAGTCATTCGCCTCTCGGTCAAATGACCTCCGTGTGAGTGGTCCGGAAGAAATCAAAAAGTTAGTTATTTCTTCACCCTCAACCCGTTTCGTTGTTATTTGGTCTTGGTTCCAGAAGAAGTACTAACATGATTATTGGTTCTTCTCTCTCAAGGAGAACCACTGCCCCATGGCTCCCCGACCGTTGACCCAAATCAAGTGGACCAGAAAAAATGAATCTCCTTTTTTAGTATATGTTTTTTTCTTGCTCATGGTCGTCCTGTGATGGCGCCCTTTGCTGTCTTCTTCATCACGGCGTCTCAATTTACATTAAGATTTCCTTTGGACGCCCCGTTTTTTTAAAGGACTTGTAATTGTAATCGGAGAAGCTTCGTGATGACACCGTCTAATTGTAAAAAGGAAATGACCCAAGCGGAAATACAGATACGATTTGTTGAAGAGAGAGTAGAGGGGAAAGATTCATGACAAAGGGCACGGGTCCAAGGTTTCAGGATGAGATCGAAGAGTGTTCTTTGTTTTGAACTACTCAAGGAAAAGGGAAGGAGCTGAAATGTTTAATGTCTTGGTTATACAGTAACGGTCAATAGAATAAACAAAACGCATTTTCAAGTTGATTTTCGGCCGTTTTGACCATTTTCAGGAGCCTGGAGCTTGGCTGTCAAGTTTATGATCACTTTGAATTTTCGGAGGGTGTAAAATAGACCTAGATTAAAACTTGGAATTTGCAATTTTTTTGAAAATGCTTTGTATTTTCGATTTTTGAAAGACACCCCTTCTTGGCCGGTTTTTGTACTGAAAACGTGAAAACAAGTATCTTTCAGAAATCGGAAAATATCGAAAATACAGGAATTTTCTAAAATTCTGTGAATTGAAAGTTTCCCATCTAGGTCTGATTGGCACCCTCCAAAATTTTCAAAGTGATCATAAACTTGACAGCCGTGCTCCAGACTCCTGAAAATGGTCAAAACTGCCGAAAATCAACTGAAAATACGTTTTTGTTCATCTTATTGACTGGTACTGTAGATTCTAAAAACCTTTCAATTCGAAACTTTCTATTTGCGACCGTAGATCAGTTCAAATCCTAAAGATCCACAACTATTTCTTTCAAAATAACAATGTTTTCTAAACGACCCTATAAAAATGGTTCGTGTTCTTTGAACAGAAAAATTTAACCATTTTGCGGCTCTTATGGTTTGACCAAAATTAATTTCCTGTACTCCAAATTCTGGTTACAAGAATGTGTCCTTTCTAGAACATCGAGAGTCATGAAAACATCAAAGAGATAAGTAGAACGACCTATTTTGCAGTATGGACAAACATGATTCCCAGTGGATTGAGCTGTTTTTTTTGAAACGGGCAAGCTACAACAAAGGCTTTGTGGGTCCGAGACCTCCTGTGTTCCCATTGTCCCATCTAGAAGGTCAAGGGACTATACTAGAGACCAATTGACTTCCACAAAAAAAAATTCAAAACCCGGAAACCCGTTTTTCTCTTTTCTGCAACACCAGTTCATTTTTGATGTTGCTCTTTATGGTAGGCGTTTTTTGCCATTTGAAAGAGAACTATAAAATACCACCTGCTGTGTTTCAAAAAGCGGAAGGGCCACTTTTGAAACAATTGGGGTCCGGGCGCCAAGGGCTAATAGATGCCCCCGCAAAAAACTATGAGAACAACTGGTGGTCCCATTTGGGAATTGAGAATAGAGGAGGCGGAAAAATGGAAGTGAATGGATGGGTTTAAGTGGGATAAAAAGGTTGTGTGGGATTGAATCTTATTATTTAGGATTTAATGAAGTTTTTTGCTGTGAAATGAGAAGACCGAAAATGATCCGACATTCTGAAAAACTGCATCTTGGAGGTCAGAAGTCAAGCATCCGGTCCAAGTTTTCCGACAGGTGGATTTGGAAAGTAACAATGTATATGCAATGCATGATTCCTGCCCCACAACGTCCACTTGACGCATATCTCAGATCTTCGTCAACAGCTTCTGCGAACTCCTGCAAAACGTGGCATCTTAGAATTTGAAGATGAGCATCTTAAACTTCGAAGATAAGAAGATGTCTGAACCTGTTGACACCTTCTGATCTGTTTTGGATGACCTAAATATTTGTCCCAGATTAGTTACCGAGAAGGGGGAAAACAGAATAAAGAACAAGACGCGTTTCCTCTATTTTTCTCTTTGTTTGAAGAAGAAAATGACTTGGTTTTGACTCGTTAAGCGCGTCAAAAAAAAACGTCCAAATGGACACGACACCCTCTCTCTTTTGAGACAATTTAAATTATGTCACTTTTTGTTGTTCTTCTCTTTTGGGATGACTAAGTGTTCTTCATTAGAATTTTCTGAAATTGAAGTCTCAAAGTACTTGGTCTAATGGACCAATTTGAACGGAATACTTGATTCCTTTGTTTACGAATTTTTCAGGATTTAGTGACACTGGCAAAAAAAGCAATTTTGAAGAAATTGGGAAGATTCAAATGGGTTTGAGGATAGAAAAGATTTGCAGAATACGCGATGCGGTGTGAAATAAGATTGGTGGATTTTTGATTTTGAAATTTTGAGAATTTTCTGAAAGAGGCTGAAATATAAGTTTTTTGCAGTTACATCTGTAATTGAAGGGTCTCCTCACTTTGAGCAAATTTATCTCGGTTCCTGTCAAGGATGTCAAAAAGTTGTCAACTGATAAATTGTTTATCATAATATCCAAAATATTTATCAGTTGACAACTTTTTGATATCTCAAACAGGAACCGAGATAAATTGGCTAAACGTAACAGTACCTTCTATTACATGTTTTACGGAAGCCGGTGCGCACTGAACCCGTAAACCATTCACAAGCTGCAAACCTAATGTAATAAAATTTTAAAGTTAAAAAAATTCCTTTTATCTGGAATGTTTAATTCATATTCTCAAATTTCGAACCATGCTCCCGGTCATTCAAATTCTGCAATTCACATTTTTTCCAACTCCCTGAAACCCGACCCACCACTTCATATTTTCAACCCAGACCCATAAAATGACGAATTGTCTTTTAGCATCTCCTCCACTCTAAGAACATCATCCTTTACATTTTTGATCTATTTTAAGAATTCAAAACTGACAGGTCCCATCAAACTCAAAAAATTTGAATCGAAATTCATCTGTGGCTCTTCTTGAGTACGCGTCACTTTCGAATGTTTCAATAGTAGTAGTTTTTCCAAAAAAAAAATCGCCCACCCGAATGGTCTCTAGTTTTTCATTCACCACGACAGGTCAAATTTCATTCAGATCCATCAGATTCTGTACCCTTTTAAGTGTCTCCCATCAGAATTCTCACATTTCTTTCATTGAATGAACTTTGAATTGTTGGTTTTTTCTAATCTGTCCTATCCTTTCCTACATATATTTTTAAAGCATTCTTCCTTATTTTTTATCATCATTTTCTTTTTAATTTTTTCTTCTTCTTATCCAATCCTATTAGAACCTCCATCATAATATCCTTTTCAGATTATCCTCTTCTTATCTTCGCCTACCGTACTCACTCATCTCCCATCTCTTATTTTTTCTTTCCTGTCCTTCGTTCCTCTTCTCTTCTTCTTCTTCTTCTTCTTCTTCTGCTCTTGGGTGCTCAGAGTAAAGACACGGCTACTCCCGAGACTCCGCCCATAAAAAATCGGGGCGGCTCCTCCACCGAAGAAGAAGAAGACGAAGAAGAAGAAGCTAGGGGCGACGTGAACTTTCGATTCTTAGCCGATACTCCTCCCCTATTCCGAATCTCCACCCCTTTCTCAGCGACATTTTCTGGCGCCCCACCCCACGCCTCATTCGGTTATCCAGTCATTCGTGCTCCGAACCGTGTCTGATGTCGCCTACTGTCCTTGGGTTTCTTCTCTCGGCCTTCGTGCTCACAAGTTCTACCCAAATATTTTCTGAGGATGTCGGAAAGATCATCATCGTTCAGAACACTTGCTCCGTGGTTCCACATCGTGTCTGGAAGAGGTTAGTTACTTTATACCATCTTGGTTGTGTCAAGTAGGTATGTGTGTCTCTTGGGATATTGTCAGCGGCTTGCTTTTCTTTATAAGGTTTTCCTGCGGTGTCAGAAACCTACACTGGAAGCTTCAGAGGTAGTATTTAGTAAGATCCTAAGTGTTTTCTGGATCTCACTGTTTGTTTCCAGCTCCTGGTTTTTGGAAAACTAATTCGAGATTCAGACGGTTTAGGAACAGCTAAGACGAGGAACATCCCAGTCGTAGCTAGCTGATCCTTGCTAGCCAAGGATCTTTGTATCATTACTTATATAGGGAAAATGCAAAAATTGATTTCTTGGTACGCCTCGATTCCCGTAGTATCCTTATAGCTTATTAGTTCCAATTTATCCGACTCATCTCTTGTTTTCCCATGCCGTTCGTATCACTACGTTTCCATCGGTGCCACCGAGTAGCTGTTTTTAATTCTTGATCTCGGCCGTTCTAGAAACCCCAGAAATTATAGGCACGCACCCCAAAACAAACCGCGTCATTGACATTTGGCATTTTTTAACACCTGAAAAGCGAAGAATAGTATGTGAATCGTCTGACACGGCGGTGTAGTTAAAATCAGCTATTCAAGAAAAAAGAATAGGGACAAACTAAAAAGGTGTGATGACGCAAAACGAGGCGTCAAAAAAAGAGGAGGCGACCATGAATCTTGAATACGCGCTCCTTTTTTGTGTATTTCTTTTTCTAAATGTTTCAAAAGAAAAAAATAGAGAATGGAGGTCTAAATAGTTCAGAACGGAGCAGAGCTCACATGGCTACAGTAGTCCTTTTCACGTGAAAGCATTCTTATGAAACATCTCCCTTGCGAAACAGCTACCGTAACCCGAATATATTTTCAGATTCACAGAGGAATCTTCGACGACCCCAAAGTCATTGAACCAATACAGCCCGGAAACCATCAAATTCCTCCAAACATGGATACATACCGCGCATGGGGTTGAGAGCCGTCTTGAGAACGCGCTGTTAAAGTGGGACGAAAAATCGGTGGGTCCTATCAAGTGGTGGAATAAAAAAGAAGAGAAAAACGCAATAAAATGGAAATGACGTCAAGCTGGAGCTGAATGTAAATCTCTTCAGTTAACAAGTGGTTTCCATTTTCAGATTTGCTTCGACCGCCCGTCTACAATCACTTTGAAGAAAGTGGCACACGGTGGTGACTTCTCCAATGACATGTCAAAGTTCTCCTATCTCGAAGTTCCGGAGCATTGGGCTGCTCCAAATGAAGACGATATGGAGACATGGAAGGTTAGTTGAAATCTGATACCTCAGATATACTGTAGTCGCTAAACTTTTAAATATAACATCATCAGATAATCCTCGGATTTAAATAAAACATTTTCAGAACATCAAACTCGAGGAGTGCTCCACCACCAACGACGCCATCTACCGCTGCCCAGAGACCGCCTTCAAGACATCCTGCTCGATAAAGGACCTTGCCAAGTGCTCGGAGCGCATCGAGATGGACAGCTCAGATCAATTCGTGAGTAGTTGTTTCTGATATGATCGTAGTTATAAATAACCTTATTATCTTCTCAAGTCCATCTATCCTCTTACGGGCAATCCGATTTTCCTTGTTATTTTTTGTTATTTTCCAGTTCGCTTTCGTTCGCCGTCTTGGATCCAGCCATCTTGTTGCAACTCGTGCTCGCCGGGGAACCATCATCCGTAGCGGTAACATCTTTGATATCAAGCCTGTCGATCTCCCGGAAAGGATATTCAAGCTGACTCTCGCCGACACCGACATGATGTCAATCGGAACGGCTCTCGTCAAGAACCAATGAATATGACAATGATTGTTATGTCACCTTGTCAACTTGTTATCTATTCACCTATTTTGTCTCACCTTTCCATCTTCTAGAAGCTATTATTATCATTATCATACAACCCAGTTTTCATATATACACCTATTCTCACAAAAGATAGGATTAATTTGTTTGTATGTCTAGGGGTGGTCAAGCCACCATCCTAATCACCCAAAAAATGTCCAAAAAATTAATCCTCATCGTTCCCGTTAGTAGGTCAAATGTTTTGTTGCTTAGTCCCGATTATGCTTGGAACAGTTTCCCCCATTCACCTAGATTCCATCCCCGTCTTTTCCCAACTAGTTAGAAGTAGCTTTCTCCCCTCCCCGTGTTGCGGGTTCTCCTTAAAAAAGAAACTGTGAGTTGTTATGTATCCCCTCTAATATTTTTCATACCATCTCTCTTTACCTCAGCAGCCCGATCTAGTTTTTTTCGTTTTCGTCTTCTAGTACCATGATACTCTTTTGATTCTCTTCATCCCACTCACATCCCCGCCGACATTCGCTATTACCCATTCCCACTGATTCCGGAGATTCGATGACACCACCGCATGATAATTTTGTAGTACAACTTTATTGTCCCAAATCGATTCGTTGATTCATATTCCTCGTCGTTTCTCAGTCTCTCTGAATCTGTCATAATGTCTCATCTTATGATGTTCTCCCTGTTTTTTCCTTTACTGACCATAAAACTAAATTTATGCAAAAATGTGCTCGAGGTATAAACAGATTGTGACATAAGGAGGAGTGGTGAATCATTATCTTCTCTTATTCCACCGGAATGCTGTTGTTTCGATGTCTCGTTATATTCCTCCTTGCAAATCATGCTTCCTCCGCTAGAAGCCGGGCGCAGCAAATTTTTACTTGTGAGATCGACGTAAGTTTAACATAAAAAACAACTGATAAGAAGGAGAACTTTGAAAAGCGCTAAAGAGATTCGTAACTGTCTTATGATAGATTACTCGACGTCTAGTCATTTTGATCTCTTTAAATACTGTTTATCTAAAAAAAAAAAGTAGTTCCTTGATGATGTAGAAATTGGTCTAGGGATCACTTTTGAAGACGGATTTTTGGTTTGAAGGTGGCTCCGAAAGAGACTGATTGGCAGGTTCGCTGAAGGCGGGATTCGCTGAGGGCTACGGTACTGAACAAGAAGGATCAGAGGAATTTCTTTAAAAAATAGGCTAAAATTGGATCACCGTAAATGCTCTAATAGAAGCTTTCTTAACGAGAATTTTGATAACAATTATCTCGGTTCCTGTGAGAGATATCAAAAATCTGTCAACTGATAAAATATTGGTGAAATTATGAACAATAATTTATCAGTTAACGTAATTTTGATATCTTTCAAAAGAACCAAGATAATGGAGCTCAAAGTGAGCGTATAGGGTGGGCTTTTATTAGAGCATTGACGTTAGGTTTCATAAGACGAGATGAATCTGAAACTACAAAAATGCTGTTTCAGTTTTTTTCTGGTTTTAATCGAATATGGAAATGGATTTTTGTCGGAATATGAAAATTTAAACTTTGGTACTGTGCATGATTTCGTAACATTACGTAATGAGTTGCCGCGAGTTTGATCTGTTGCATAATGACTGCCCGACTTTCAACTTCCCGAAAAACATATTGAACTGCATTATCACCTTCTAACCTGTCATAGCCTTATTTGGCTTTATTAGCTATCGTTCCAACTATCTTGAAGTTTCTCTCCCACTCACCGTCCAGGGTTTCCAAGACACTACACTTGTTGCATCATACCTACCACCCATCTACTCCACCCATCCTACACAGCCTCAGCCTACCTAGCCTGCCCAACCTTCAGAACGCCTAGAGCACGAGCACAGAGCACAGCCCGATGAGCATATTACGTGAATTGCGCTTCGCGCAATCATCCTCGCCGAGTGCTCAGATTGCTCAGCGAACCTACAGAACCCAGTGCTATCCGTTTTGCCGTAGTTTGTGCTTTGGGTGGTTCGGAATGAGACCCGGTCCGATCAAGACCAGGAGGGGAAATGTATTACAACAACGCAAAATTTGAAGCGAGCTGGTTAGTAGAGGAGGTCTGCACTTCTTTCTGTTTTGAGTGAAAACAAGACAGGCTGTGATGAATTACGGACTGGCAGGAGGAGTTTAACAAACATGATATCGATGATGATGGTGATGATGAGAGAGGAAAGCTGCCAGGTTCAACACCACCAGACGAGCAATTAGTCAGCAAAAGAGTGATTGGGGTTAGGGTCGAATATCGTGAGAAATAGAAATTGCGGTACAGTATACAGATGAAAGTATGTGAAAAAAGCAGAGGATTCTTACGGTAAAACCATACTGTAGTCACATGGTTTCATAAGGACGGTCTGTGTTGGTCACGGTGATCTACAAACGGTGGTTTTATTTCAAAAAACCTAGTAACTGAGTTTTCAGCAATATGCCAAAGTGAGAACCTTCCTTATGAACGGCTGTATAAGACTTACTATTAGAGTATTAACTTTGAGCAGATTTTGCTTGGCTCCTGATAAAAATACAAAAAAATTGTCAACTGATAAACTGTTTATCATAATGTCACTAACATTTTATTAGTTGACAGATTTTTGATGTCTCTTACAGAAAACGAGATAATTGAGCTCAATCTGCACGTATAGGGGACTTTTATTAGAGCGAGTGCGAGACCAAAATGATTGGCGGCAGTATACATAAGGCTATTTTACATGCACATGCAATGGTCCATGTATTGTTATCAACAGATTTGTCTCTATCCATTGTCAGGGTTTCCTTCACTACAAACTCTGATTTCTATTTCCCAAAGTCCAAACGTTCTTTGGAATTCCCAGAGACTACGCTACTTTTGCCAACAAAAATGAATCTCGTTGAAAAACGAACCTTTCCAATCAAATTATGACCGACCACAAAATACGTACATCTAGACGAATATTACGCCTTTTGTCCGCAGAAAAAACCAAAAATTCAATCATTTTCCTATTATTCTCTTTTTATTTCTTGACGTTCCAAAAAATCAGCTGCCTTAAAATTGACTAATTGCTTATTCTAGCCTCTAGGTAACCATTATTTAAGATCAGGCGTCGGAGATGTAGGCGTTATGCAGGTGGAAACTGGTTTTCATTGGAGCTGAAGTTTTAGAAGGGATCTACGAACGTTTCACGATTGATCCTTACAGATTATGCTTGATAGGATCAAGGAAGTACGAAATGGTACATGGTGGTACTAGAATGAGGTGTTAGCACTTTTAAAATAGATCAGCCAGGAACAAACATTATTATTGCTGAAATCACTGGAACAAACTCTAATTTTTATCTTTCCACTCTCCTAACTCTCACGTAAACATCATCGCTGTTAATAATCTATTAGATTTTGATCTGAAAATGATGTGAGAGGAAAAGCCATGATTCGATTATTCAGATCAAGAGGGTAACTTTATTAAATTGGTCAACTAGTTTGCTCTCTCTTCGTCGTTGATTGTGTAGCCTTCTCATAAAAGAAAGATTCCAGATATGGAGAGAGAGGGGATTGATCATCTAAAGGATGGGAGAGCAGAAAAACATGTTGATGAAACATTGGAAATAAAGGAAAAACACGTACGGGGAGCTGTTCTGGTATGGGATGTACTATGTGGGAACATGGTACTGACAGTGAACTTGGGGGATTTCAAGAAATGAAATCGGATCAGGTTTTCGAAATTTGAACACTGATCTCTTCGGTATTTTTAAAATCGCCATAGAGAGATAACATGAACGAATTTGTATCAGTTTGGAAACCAAATGTACCGTGCTGAATTGTTTGGAAACTGCTTACAGGGTGGGGCAAAAGTCTGGTAACCAAATGAAGACATCATAACTTCTCGGAAAATAGTCCAATCCGGGTCGAATTTTGACAGGACTTTATCAAAGAGAGCCCTAGAATCAACACCTTTGGGTAGCGTTTTCGGCGTCACGGGGGTGGTCTGGGCAAACTGTCTCATTCCGCGGTAAAAAAAAATTTTGAGAGCATTCAAAAACATGTGAAAATAAACTAGAACATATGCTCTGAAAGTTTCAAGCACCGAAATTCCCATCGGATTGTTGTCGGACTCGAGACAGGCCATCCTTTTCGGGGATGAAGTTGGAACATTTGGATTTGGCACTTTTTTGCTGAACACGTTTTTCCGTGTGAGCAGGTTCTACATCTTTTTTGGCAGTTCAATTTAGCGAGCTTTATGGCACGATGACTTTCATGGAATGACTGCCAAGTGTTACCCTCGAAAAAAATCGAGACCTATATGGTTGGATAGAGCGTAAAAAGTTATTTTAGATTCCAAACGGAATAGTTGGTAAAATTTTTTTTTTGGGAGTTATGGTCCAAAAAGTACCAAAAAATGCCTAAATTTTCAAAAAATCATAACTTTGTCAGTTTATGTCCGTTTGTTAAAATTTAAAAAACAGTAGATAGACATTTGATTGAACATTTGAGAATAAAATTTTTTAATATTTTTCCTATTGATTGGATTATTAATTTTTTGAAAAAATCAAAAAATTTTTCAATATCTCAAAAATCCTAGGTTAACTTTTTTTTTCATTATGACCATTAAATTCAACACATTTGATTTACTATAGAAACGTATCAATACCCTGGGGGAAATCATGCTCACACAAGTTATGCCAAAAAATATCGATTTTTGGCACTTGGCTTCTTTGAATTCGTTGCCCTCGGCGGCCGGTATGGTGAGGGGCATACTTGTTTTTGTGATTTTTACTTGCGTATGGTTTGCCTAGAGTGTTTGAAATAGAATCCTGCGACATACAAAGTCAATTTTTCAAATGCCGTACCATTTCTTAAAATCATCATCTTGAAAAAAAGCAAAATTTTGACATGTGACAGGGCACATCTATAGTTAATCTTGATGGAAATAGCCAGACTCTTGTTTAAACATGATTAAAATGACAAAATCTTATCAACGGCTTGAACAGAATTTTAAATTAGGCCCTAAAAATATAAATATTCACTGATGATGGGATATCTTTTGTTTTTGATCATAACTTGAGAACGAAGAAAAATATCGAAAAACTGTTAGCGCCATTCGATTTAAAATTAAAAAAATACTACTAAACAAATGTTATTGGTTTGTTTCGTATCGTGAAAATAGGTGAAATGGAAAAAGGTCGATTTCGGCTGTCCGAAGCTGGAAGGATATCTTTCGGAAATCGTTCATTTAACCTCTTTCACCACAGGGACCAAGTTGATTCCACTTTTTCTATGTTATTGTATCATTTTAAATCGAATGGAGTTACCAGTTTTTTGATATTTTTCTTCGTTCTCAAGTTATGATCAAAAACAAAAGGTGTCACATCATCAGTGAATATTTTTATTTTTAGGGCCTAATTTAAAATTCTGTTCAAGCCGTTGATAAGATGTTGTCATTTTAATCATGTTTAAACAAGAGTCTGGCTATTTCCATCAAGATTAACTATAGATGTGCCCTGTCACATGTCACACTTCACCAAAAATAGGGGTCAGGCTCGGAAAATCGTAAATATTTTTGATTCTAGGGCCTAAATCAAAATTCTGTTCAAGCCGTTGATACGATTATGTTCTTCTGATTATGTTAAAAAATAAGTTTGGCAGTTTCTATCAAGTTTAACTATAGGTGTGCCCTGTCACATGTCAAAATTTTGCTTTTTCAAGATGATGATTTTAAGAAATGGTACGGCATTTGAAAAATTGACTTTGTATGTCGCAGGATTCTATTTCAAACACTCTAGGCAAACCATACGCAAGTAAAAATCACAAAAACAAGTATGCCCCTCACCATACCGGCCGCCGAGGGCAACGAATTCAAAGAAGCCAAGTGCCAAAAATCGATATTTTTTGGCATAACTTGTGTGAGCATGATTTCCCCCCGGGGTATTAATATGGTTCTATAGTAAATCAAATGTGCTGAATTCAATGGTCATAATGAAAAAAAAAGTTAACCTAGGATTTTTGAGATATTGAAACATTTTTTGATTTTTTCAAAAAATCAATAATCCAATCAATAGGAAAAAAATTAAAAAATTTTATTCTCAAATGTTCAATCAAATGTCTATCTACTGTTTTTTAAATTTTAACAAACGGACATAAACTGACAAAGTTATGATTTTTTGAAAATTTAGGCATTTTTGGTACTTTTTGGACCATAACTCCCAAAAAAAATTTTTACCAACTATTCCGTTTGGAATCTAAAATAACTTTTTACGCTCTATCCAACCATATAGGTCTCGATTTTTTTTCGAGGGTAACACTTAGAAGTCATTCCATGTTAGGCATCATGATTTTCCCCAGAAATAGTATTCCTGGCCCAATGGCTTGCTAACAAGGATCCGCCAAAAACAGGAAAAAACCGAAGAAGACGTACAGAACGTAGTGCCATAAGTGTGACAAAGTCTATGGTATGTACAGTACCAGTCAATAAGATAAATAAAAAAGTATTTTCCAGTTGATTTTTACTCATTTTCAGGAGTTCGGAGCTCGACTGTCAAGTTTCTGATCACTTTAAAAATTTTGGAGGGTGTAAAACAGGCCTAGATTTAAAACATTGCATTCACAGAATTTTTTAAAACTTTCTAGACTTTCAGCTTTTTTGATTATCGGAAGACTGGTTTTAACTTTTGGGTTCAAAAACTGGCCGAAAAGTGTGTCTTTCAGACATTGGCAAATCGCTGAAAAACAAGGAATTTTCAGTGCCAAGCTTTGTTGACCTAAACAAAAACTAAAATAATTGTGATCTTACAATTGGGTGCCTATAATAGACTTCAAAACATCTCAACGTTATAATTTCTGATTCTTGCTCAAATTTGTCAGATCCGGCTTAGACTGGAAAGAGATGCCATATATTATTAGTCATCGTGTAATAGAGTGCAAAATGTTCTCCAGTCTCTGATTCATAATGTTTCCCAAATAATGTTTTTCAGGGAATGGTGGATTCTGAACGTCATCAACTCCATGGTGCCCTTGTGAATTGCCAAAGCCCACCGATGAATTGCTATGTAGACCCTCACGAGTATCTTATCAAATCTCACACCAGTATTATGTGTCGACTCGAGGAAAATGATGGACATTTCTTCTATGACGATGTGTGTTTCTAGTTCACTTGGCACACTCACGATACACGATTTCAGAAGAGTTGCTCATTCCGATTCTACTTCCGTCGCAGTTTTTGTGCATTTGAATCTCAGTGCTACAGTATGACAATCACTTGTGAAGATGCTACCAGTCCAACTCCGCTGTTGATGATTTGTAGGTACTCGCACGAAAATGAATCTAAAGAAGTTTTAGGTACGTTTCCAGCAGTGATCTTTGTATTTGGTGTGATCGTCTGTATCGTGTTCTGCGTCCTGAGTTGTTATAGAAGATGCTGCGTCAAGGAACGAAGCACGAATATCCAGAAAGCGTAAGGAAGAATTCAGATTCTAATAAATGACGAATTCTGATTTTCAGGGAAGAAGCCTTCGAAAAATTGCGCTCGGACATGCATGAACCGATCGAAGAAGTATGTGAGAAACAGCAAAAACGGAATCAAAACAACTACGTTCCAATGCTTCAAGAAACTCATTTCTAATACAATATTCAAGATGAATCATAATTATTTATTGTTCAAGTTGCTCATTTTGAGCCATTATGGTGAAAAATATTTAAAACGAGTAAAGTGTGTTTTCTTGAATTCTGTAGTGGAAAATTTTATGGATGTACGAAACGATTTTTTGATGAGAAGGGGTTGGGGGATTGCGAAAATAACCCCCGGAATATCGGTTTTGAAAAATGGATGGTCAGAACAAATTATAAAAGAAAAAAGAAGGAGAAGAAGATGAATAATTAGAAGAAGGAGATGCGTTGAATGGGGATTTCTGGAGAGGATACAATGATACTCATTTTAAAGAATATCATCAAAGTCGGTCTGTAATAATATTTGTAGAATATTGATTGCGTTGTAGATATTTAGTCCGATCCTGAAGAAATTCAAACATTTTCGAAACATGCAAGTTTTTTACACAAAAAGGACGGACAAGGTATTCAAGAATTCTTCTGCTACGATGTTATTCTATCTGACTCTACTTACACCTGCTGAAGAAGCGTTCGATTCTTTGTGTTGGATAGCCGGAAGTGAGTATTTTCTCGAGTCATCAATGCTCATTTGGTGCATTCGATGAGCAATGTCTGCTGTTGTGCCCGCCTGAAGAAAAACACCTATTCTTGTCAGTCTATGACCTCAGATATGATTTGTGTCAGTCTGTTCCTTATAGAAATAGATATACGAACGGCTGCGGATTACCTTAATTTTCTTCATGACATCACGTAGGAGGTATCGCCAGAGAATGATGACGTGGTCCACTTCTTTGTCGTTCATCCTTTTTGAAAATGCATGACGAAGGCAATAAATCGAGCATTCGAGGAATACCGACCAGTAGTAGGATCTGGAAATTAGAATGTGGAGGTGGATTGGGGAATAAGGTAGATTTCTGGTTCTCTTGGAATATGTGGGCAGTTTGAGGCAAAGATGTAAAACAGTTAGAGCATAGGTGAACGATTGGGGATACTGTAAAACCTGTAATAAAAAGGCCCCGCAAATTTCGAAGTTTAAGATCATTTTTCTTGGCTCCTATTGAAGATATCAAAATTGTGTCAATTGATGAATTGTTTGTGATAATATGATAAACAACCTATTAGTTGGCAATCTTTCTATATCTTTTACAGGTACTGAGATAAATTGGGCCGAAGTTGAAAGTCAGAGGGTCCTTATGTTACAGGTTTTATGGTATCTGAGGAGAAACATACTATGATTGTGATTGAATGAATATAGGGATCCTAAATTGAACGAAAAAGTTGAAAACTTAGAATTAACTGAAGAATTAAAGCTGAAATGATGAAAATATCCTAATCGACTTGAACAAAAAACTGGGGAAACTTTCATGCTCACTGACCAAATTCCGTCAAACTTAAGACAAGGTTCCGATCTATTATTACTATTTGAACTTCCAAATTCAGGGCAAAATCTGACTATGGTCCGTTATACAGCCGTTTCTGGGCAAGTTCCGAGAAGAACCTGGCCAATATCTGTCGAAAAGCCAAACCTCTTCTGACCAGAAGTTACAAGCAGACAGTATTTGATTTTTTCTACGTTTGAGTCATTTTTTTCTGTGAGAATGTCCCCATGTTTTCCAATCAATACCAAACCATGCTCAATTTACAGTAATCCTTCTCTGATTCCTTGTTCCCATAAACCTCCTTACCTGAACTTTCCATTAACCTCGAGCTTTCCGTGCCGTCTTCCCAAATTGTCCAAAATAACATCAAGTGATGTGAGATGATCGAGTGCCTTTACTGCTCCCTCGATAACCTGAAAATCAGAAACTGGGAAGTTTTTCCAACAATTAGAGATGAGATACCTGCATAAAACGCATTGCCTGAAATGCGAACTCATTGTTCTTTCTGTCTGGTTTGGATCCAACGAATTTTAGTTTTGGGAATAGTCGACGGGCTTCTGGGCACTGAAAAGTTACCATGGAGGTCAGAAACCAAACTTGCAAAATTCTCAACAAAGGAAATTGAGGGGTACTACTACTAAAAGGGAAATTAGAAAGGACCCATCTCAATCCATGGGACTAATCAAAAAGTAAAATGTTGACACGGAAGAGTCACATGATGACGCTAGTATCATCAAGACCAACCTGATTGAAAATCATCTCGTAGATATCACAAGCGATGTGATTCTTTTTGCCTTCAACGAGATTCCACGAATGTTCCAGATCATTTTTCTCCTCTTGTGTGAAGCAGTACCAGGAGATTGCCGCCGGTGCCATGTCTTCGATCTCCTGGAATTATTAGGGATACGAATTCGAAAACCTATGCAATCATAAGATAAAGGATGGACGAATATGTTTGGTTCATTAAATCAGGTACAGTAATCCCGGGGAGTCCTTGACCCACTAGCTTTTAGTTCTTTGCCCATTGCTCACCACTAACTACACTCTCAAGTACCTCGAGCAATTTCCCATACCTTTCTATCCTATACTTGCAACAGAAAAAAGCCCAGATCTCTGTTTCTAAAACCACCACCTATCTCAGAGTTGCCTCCGTGACTCATGCAACATTTTTTTCGTTGCTCTTCTTTTTTTCAAAACACTTGTTTCTTCTTCTTCTACATTTTTTGGGTACAAAAAGATTGAAAATCATGAAATTCCCACGCCTCTCCAGATGGAGATCCCGCTCCTTCCGGTTCCACGTGTTTACCTTTGACTTCTTCTTCGTCTCCTTTTTTATGCCCTAAGGCTTTTTTGCAACAAAAAATAGTCTTAAAAAGAGGAAGAAGAAAAACAAGATAATTGGAGTAGAAGGGAGTGCAGAGAATATGTTCTGGTGGTGTTGAATTGGAGTCATCATTAGGAGAAGAAAAGAAAGGAGAAGAGGAAGAATGAATGAGAAACGGAAGAAACCTTAGGAATGAAGAATTGCCCTTATTTTGGGAAAGATTAGGTCTATTTGGAGAGCAAGGAAGAGGTCAAAATCCAGAAACCAGAGGCTCAGAATTTTAAATGTAGATCGAAAAATTAGATGATTTTTTGGAGTATTGAGAAGTAGAAAATGAGCTACCAAAAAAGACAAATCAAGGTCTGGCACTTAAATTTGCAAAAAAAAAATTAAATTTCGGTTCTCATCACTTCAAAGATGCCAATTCCCAGTTTAGAGTTTTCAACAAAAAAAAATCACATTTTCATGTTCCCTAGACCGGAACTTCAGAATTTCTTTTAAATTTCCCGAACATACCGTAATGACCAATTTGACATCGTCACACATTTTCGCACTTTCAAAACTGTCCGTTTCAGAAGTTTCGGAATCCAGTTTGAATAGTTTTCTTTTTTTAGAAAGTAATCAAGAATTCAGAATTTCAGAGTATTCTCCACTCCGAATAGGCAAAATGATACAATAGTTTCTGATGGGGAGTGCGTGAGCAACACAAAAAAAGGCACCGAATGGGGGGCGGGGACTCGTTTTGCCTCTCACGGATGAGCAAAATAGTAGAAAAAAGACAGAGGAAACGAGGGACGGTGGTCGTAAAATGAGACCTCAAGTCGTAGCTTTCTCACCACTATGCCCCGTAAGGATCTTATGATCAATTTCAATTAATCCTAATCACTTTCGGTGCTTCGTTTTTTCGTTATTTTCCTTTTTCTTCAAACTAGAATTTGTCATAAAACTTTCCACGAGGTCAAGGGTCCTTTCTTCTTTTTCTTGATCGAATTTATGTTGCAAAATGAGATGAGAAGCCGTCAAAAAACGGATGAGAACAAGTAGAAGACGTGAGGACTTCAAAGTGGGGGAAAAGTTTGTAAAAGTCTGAATCCTTTAAAGATCTGAATCCAAACTTGTTGAAACCGGATTAAAAGTTCATTTGTTACGTCATGAAGTGGGCGGAGCCTAATGGTTCCTAAAGGAAAAAAAAACAAAAGGTTTAGGAAGAAGTAAAGAGATTGAAGGATAACGTTTATGGGAACCGGAATAGAGTTTATAGGTCAGCGTTTATAGTTTGACGAGATAGAAAACAACCGAAAATGATCTAATAGAAGCCGGCCCAATAGTTCACTTCGAGCTCAATTATCTCGGTTCCTATGAGAGATATCAAACATTTGTCAACTGATAAAATATTGGTAATATTATGATCAACAGTTTATCCGTTGGAAATTGTTTGATATCTATTGAAAGAGCCGAGATAATTTATTTCAAAGTACATGTTTAAGTAGACTTCTATTAGAGCACATATGGTAACAGGATTCTTACTGGAATCGAAAAATCGAAGAATCAGACACTTTAAGATTTTGTAAATATTGGATTTTGATTCTAGCATTTCAATAACTCTAGAATCTTAGAAATCTGGATAATTGTAGGATCTCAAAACTTCGAATCTTAGGAATTTTGGTATCCTAGAATCTCAATTTTAAAGTTTTAATTTTTAAGCCTCAATTTCAAAGTCTCAGCATTTTATGATTGCGATGAACCCACCCACTTTTTTAAAAGCCGGAACTTGTCACTGAATTAATTATTCCACGTTTCCTAATCCTCAGAATGCAAATAAGGATCCGGAATAGAAAAAAAAGGAGAAGAGTTCCTTCTCTCTGCTGCTGGAAAAAAGTGCGCTAAGCTCATCGTATAATTGAATGGACTAGAAATGAGAGACAGAAGTGAATCCTCTTACTCCCTCTTCTACTCGAAAATACTCCCTCGTCAAATTGTGGTAATCAGGGTGGAAAAAAGATGGGACTCTTCTGGAGCAACCCACCAGGCATGATTCATTATTTGATGACAGAAAAAACAACAGGGGATCGGAGACGATAAATCGTTCTTTTAAGGAATTAATTAAAATAAATAGAAAGCTAGGAAAAGTTGTATTTTCAGTAAAAGTCAAAACGATTCTTCTAAATGAGAGGGTGATGTTTGGAATGTGAAATACGAAGCTGATGTCTCGAAGAGCATGTGAGTGAACAGACCACACTTTCCTTCCTGTTTTGTAAATTGGAGTCAAATACTTACGGAGAATGTGAATTAGAAAGTTCTGGTGGAGAAGTGATCTATAGAATAAGACTGTATACAAGTGAGACTGTTCAAACATTGGCCAGAAGTTTTATTTTCAAATTCTTGTAGGCCTAGAAATTATGATAGGGATTGTGAATGATTTTTCTTTAAAAATTATTTAAAAAATAAAAGATTTGAAAATTTGGCAATTCTTAATTTCGCTCTCCAAAATTCCGAAGTTCCGAAAATGTCAAAAGCTCGTATATTTTATCATTCCAAGAAACCAGGAACTGGGCCAATAAAGCTAAACAAGTCTGAAAAGGCAGTGGTTGGTTCCAACTCATCAATTTTGCACAAAAACAGATATCTCTTTTATTTCCTCTCAAACTTTTTTCATCGCTTATTTATCAAACCAAAACACGGAGGAGAAATTTAGAGACATCTCTTGTATAGAGACGTGCCAATTGAACTTTTGAAGTTTCGAAAAAACCTGAAATCAGATGGGCAAAGGAGGAAATGAGGAGTTTTCCAAAAATGAAAAACTTTGATCATTGAAACTTTTGACATGCCTTGGTGCGCATCATTTGGGGTTTCTTAGCTGGTATTTTTTAATATTTTGAACTTCTGATTTTGTGTAGAAAATTTGTCTGGATATAGAATTCCTAAATCAAATCTGTTGGATCTGCTAGATCAGGAGAACAAAACAATCCTTCAAAGAGGGAAGGCAAGAGAACTTGCAGATCTCAAGTTTGAAATTTTTTGTGTTCATGCGATAATTAGGTTCATACAGATCTACTTTTTGCCTTATCCGGACCAATCATCATCCACGTGGCACACACCTTTTGAATCTTTTGATCTACTACTTTAAAAAATTGAAACCGAACACTTTTCAGGTGGCAAAAATATCAGGTTTCTCAAACTTGATCGTTGGCATAATGCACTTTTTTAAAGAAACATAAAGAATTCTTCTAGCATAAACTAGAATATATTTCTCCACAAAACACAAAATGACCTCTTTATCCCATATTCATATCCCAATATAGCGAGCATTCATAATTTCCGGTAGTTTGCACATTTTCTATGTCAAAAGTTTCCGATTTTTTGCATTGCACACACTACCCTCTCTCTTTCTCTCTCTCTCTCTCTCTCTCTCTCTCTCTCTCTCTCTCACTCTCTCTCTCTCTCCATAAAAAGAAATGAAAAGTCATGACATTCGAGATCTGTCCCTCCCAATCGAAATCCGATACTTAACTAGTTGTGTACTTTTCATTTCATGTGCTTTGACGGGAGGAAGATGAAATATATGGCAACATGGAAAAAATATTGAACTTATTTTTTAAGAAAAGGGGATTACTAGAATATTCTAGAACGTTTTAGAATGCAGATTTTTCAAAATCTGAGCCAGAAACATCAAAAAAGAGCGAATCTCTGAACCTTTGGAAGGAGCAAAAAAAAAAAAAACAGAACAATTGAGAGCTCCAAAAATGAAAAATGGAGCAAAAAGTGTGTTTCTTGATGAAACATTTGATCCCGGTCATCTGTCTTTCTAATCCCCTTTTTCCATTTCTGGCGCTTCTTTTTGGCTTCAGTATTTTTTTGTGAAATTGAAAATATAATTAAAGTGGGAAAATTGAAGAAAAATATGGAATTGGCATTTTACTACTAAACTACAGAGTTCGCACACAAAAATTGAAGAAAAACATTTTTTTAGAAAAATGAAGAAGGGTATGGGAGAATACATTCTAGGGGTGCAAAGTATATTTCAAAAAGTTTTGGAAATTTGAAAATTTGCAAAAAGGTCATGGGAGTATTTTTCAAACTCAACCCTCACAGTTTAAAGATTTGATTGTGAGATTCTGGATTCCATGAGTCAAAATTCCAGAATTTCAGAACTTCAAAATTTTGGAATCTAAAGTTTTCAGAACTTCAGAATTTCAAATTTGCAAATTTGAAAATCCCAGAGATTCAAATCTTTGGAATTTGAAGTTTTCATAGTTCCAAAATTTCATAATATCAGAATTTTGGAACTCCGAAATTTCCAAATTTCGAAAGATTTTCAAGATTTCAGAGTTTAAGAATTTCAGAACATCAGATTTTCAGAACATCAGATTTTCAGAACTTCAGAGTTTCAGAATCTCAGAGTTTCAGAATTCCAAAATCTCAGAATCTCAAAATTTCAAAATATCAGAATTTCAGAAAATCAGAATTCCAGAATTTATAAAACTCAGAATCTTAAACTCGATTTCCAACTTCAAAATTTTCCTAAAATGATTATTTACACTTCTTCTCTGAAATGTTTAAAACATAATAAATATATAGTTCAGTCATGAGAGTCACTAGTTTTCATACGAATTATTTTCTAGTAATTCTAGGTTTTTTTCTTAGAGAATTCTTGAAAATTATGATGTCGTGGGAAACTTCTGATTTCGATTTTCAGAACAATACTGATCTCGAAGATCCCAACTTTTCTGTAGAGAGACGTTCCACGTCATCTGAAGCTGTGGAAAGAAAAACGATAAAAGATTTTAAGGAATTCTGCTCCTCTAGGCTTTTGAGAAGGAAATTGAAAAATGGAAGAAGAAGACACAGATTAAAAGTAGAAGAAGAAAAAGAAAAATACGCCTTTTGTCTTCTTGGAAGAATAGCGAAAAAAGTTCATCGGAAATGGAAAACGGAGGAATAGAAAGAGAAGAAGAAGAGTACTCTTCTCCAATGAACTTTTTTCGGATCTTTTGTTCTAGATGTTTCCCATCGTTTGGAGTGTTTTGCAGAATTTCGAAGAACTAATTTTGAAAAAAATTCGAATTCCAACGATATACCGTTTTTGCTCTGACAGGAGCCCTGCACTTTGAGCTCAATTATCTGGGATCCTATAAGAGATATCAAAACCTGTCAATTGTTAAAATATTGATAATATTATGATAAACAGTTTATCAGTTGACAACTTTTTGATATCTTTCAAAAGAACCGAGATAATTTAGCTCAAACTCAAATATGGTACATGTATTCCATGATGCACGGTATTTGCAAAATCGCACGATCTTTGAGTGTACAAATAAACACAAAATATACAACAAACTCGTCAATTGGTTCGTAAATAGACTTAGGAAGCAAAAAAGAAAAATCTCAAAGATGAGTAAAACATGGCGGGATATATCTAACAAAAAAGAGAGGAAACACACAGATTGGGTTCGGAAATCGAATTTGGAACGTGCAATGTTGCACATTTTCGGATGAGTTCTTTTGGGGGTCAATGGACATTGCAGGCCCGCAAAAAGAGAAGGATTTTTTGGGATAAATTCCATTGGAGAAAAGTTTGTTGGAGAAGATAGAATAAGAGATTTAGACGAGGAGTTGGCACGTGGGGTTTGAGATTTTGGATTTTGGATACCAGGGGAAACAATACAGCGTTAGGGTCTGATTAGACTGCCACATCCACAAAATGTAACATTTATACCAAAAAAAGCACCGCGGGGCTGCCTGTTTCGGACAAAACGCCATCATTTTGGTCAGAAAGCCATCAGGCCTACTTAGGCCCACACCTCAAAGTCGAGTTTGGATGAGGGGATCAAATTGAGCACAATGACTGGAGGATCCCACATTATGCTTTAAAATTCTTGAACGTCTAAAGTTATCCTGCTCAGCTACAAACTTGTGTTTTCGAATGCAACCCTAATAGTAAGCATAATGCGATCGGAAATAAGAATCATATGGGCTTATTAGGAAATTATCAATAGAGCAAACTTGCTCACATCCAAAAATCCAGAAATCTCAAACAAGGCACTTCCCCGTATATCCGTAATCTAAGCCCCTAACGTCTGGACCCATGTTTGCCTAGTTGAAAAAATATCCCTTCCAAGAATAGACACTTACGTTTTAATAATGAATATTTCGAGATATTTTAAGATATTTCAAGATTCTGGGGGAAACAGAAAAAAAGAGGAATTTTTCAGAAGATGTCAAATGAAAATGGGAAAAGTCGAAAAGCGAAGCGCCGCCTCCTCTAGACTACCGTAGAAATGTGACAAAGTTCGTTGATCAGGGAAGGAATGGGGCGGAGCATAAATTCTTTTAACTTTCAGAAGAGTAAACGATGTCAACGACAAGAATGAATTGAAACTCTTCGAAAAATCATCGGAACGAATGAAATCTTATAAAATTTCATGTGGGAGGTGGAAGTAGATGAGGCAGGAAACCAACGTCTTCCTGTTTTCAATTTGTATATGTATCACGTGTACTCGGTTTTCCTTCCCATTCGTAATTACATCAAAGCATATATTTATACTAGATGAAATATTGAAAATATTTTTTGGGTGCGAAGTGTCTCTTGAAAAGAATTTTCAACTAGGTCTAAAATTTGGAAATTCTGACGGTTCAAGCAGAAGAAAAGCGAAGACGTTAATGAATTTTCGAAGTGAAGCGGAAGCTTTTTTGTCTTCGTTGTCAAGACTACAATGTGTGTAAAATAGACAAAAATAGAATTTTCAAAATTTTCCCCTAACGATGTGAGGAGGAGGGATCTAAAAATCTGAAAACAATCTCGTAGACCGCCAAAACAAAAAACAATTGGAACGAATAGAGCAAAAGTCAATCAATGTGTATAAAAATCAAAAGCGTGTTTTTATAAAATCGAATTCTGATTCTGAGGCGGTGAGGAAATGACGTTAGACAGAAAAATTAATAGAAACTTTTTTTTACTTTTTTGAGAAATTTTTACTTTAGTTGAACGATTTTCTTCCAAGGATTGCACAGCCTTGCGTATCAGCTAAATACGTATGTACTTCGAATTAGGACGAAACCAAAATGAAACGCATTTCTGGTTGAAAGCATTTCAATCCGCTTATCTCGCAAACTCTCCTCCCTCGGCTACATATTTTTTCAATCTGTGGCCCATCATCATCTTGTCAGTAGTTGATTTGAATCTCTGACCTCATGACACATATCACTCGGTTCTTTGACATGAGGTTTGTGTCATGGACGATACGTGGGGTATGTCGAAATATAGAATCAGAATATGAAGAAGACACGTGGAAAAAAGATATGAGTGGTATCCGGAAACGTTCTAGACAGGAAGGCTGAGAAAAGAAATCACATGGCTGTTTTCCGAAGGAGGTCATATCTTCAAGAGTCTAGAAGTACTTGGTAAATCCAAGAAAATAATCATTTTCGGCTTTATGGAAGCTTCTCAGATTTTGGATAGACATTGGCCAGGATTTAGTTGGAACTTGTCCAAAAACGGCTGTATAGCGGGCCATGGTCAGATTTTGGTCGGAAGTTGAATAGTAATAGGTCGGAATCTGGTCATAAGCTTATCATTCTTATCCGGAATGATGAGCGAAATTTGGACAAGTTTCCCAGGACAATTCTAAAGAATTCTACAGAATGATAGATGAAATAAGCGTCCGATCCAAAAAATAGCTTTCCCCGGTGAGCATCCACTTACCTTCCTAGTTTCTTTTCTCCGATTCATCGGACCAACTGGCGGCGCACTACGAGTTCGATCGACAATCCAGTGACGATACAGCTTGACTTATTTTAGTTTACTTGGAAGTTCCAAAGACTAGAAGTTGAAAGTATACACAAGGTATATATTCCGCCAGACTGGATTTTCATATATCAGCACCGAAGCATTTCTCTCTAATGAGCACTATGCTCCCTTGTCGTGGGAAAGATCTTTTTGTAGTGGAGTCGAGAAAGCAGCCATGTGATAGCGAAAGTGACGAGAAATTGGACTTGGAAAGAGAGGACTGGGAATAAAATTTGTGATCCGATCAGTTGATCTTCCAGCTGTGATCAAGCCAAACTATTTTTTGTAGGAGGGGTTACTGTAGATGTTCTGGAAGAGTCTAGAACTTTTGTTCTCTGCTATTCGTTGCAACGCTTGCACCTTTCTATTCTTATCTTTTTCTAATTACTTTGTCTTCCCGATGTCCCATTCCCTTAAAGTGATTGTTTGGTTTTCTTCTCCTTTTACTCAAGATTGGACATCGCGACCCATCAAAGATTTTATGAGAACCTTCGAGAGCCAAACTAGAAGACGATGAAATTGAAATTGAAGTTTTTGCAGAAGAATGGGAAATTACGAGCGTGTACAAAAGTGCGAATCGCTTAGCAATGATTAGAAATGTCTGGAAAAAAGTTTGGAAAAGAATGGAAGATAGGAAATTAGAGAGGGGTTAAACTTTTGTGGTTTGGTCCAGTGGTCCCAGACACAGATCGAGCAGTGGAGATAAGATGAGCAAGGGCCCGAATTAGTCAACAAATGGAAATGAAGAAAACAATCAAACATCAGAGATCAGATCCAGAACTTTTCCAGATTTTTTCTTTACCCAATTCCTATAATGAATCCTGTCATGTCCTCTGTAGACCGTAAACCTGTCAAATTGACAGTTAGAGAGCAATAAACAAAAATTAGATGATAAGAAAAGTATTGCAGAAGTCAAATGTTTTGATTTTTGAATTTATTTTGAATCCTGTGAAATTTTTCTTAGCAGATCTTTCATTTCGCGAGAGGATCGTTTCCCACGGTCTGAGACTAATCGACTAATTTCTAGTCACACTTTCTCGGGAATATGAGTCAGGTAGTTCTAGTGTGGAGGTGTCGTTGGGGAATGTGATCTGTGAGTTCCCTGAAAATTTGCGAGGATACTTGAGATAGGGGGAAAATATGTGAATAGTCAATTTTTGAGTAGCGAATCTCAAAGGAAATGAAATCACTCTTTTTTTTGAATAGTGCTCCAAAATCCACAATACTTTCAATTTAGGTTCGACTAATAAACTTTATAGAATTGTTTCGAAAATTAGTAAACTCACAATCAGATTATTGAATAAAAGTCAGATAGTTGGAGTACTGACTAATTGAAAAGTTCGTGGAATGAAATTTGGAATTCAGAAAATTTTAAAAATTTTGAATTAAAAATCCGAAAAATCTCGGATTTTCCCGAACGAAAAATCTAAAATTCAAAAATTAATGGAACTGAAAATGTACTGTAATATCATAGACATATGACCAAAAACAATGTTTTGTCTCTAGAGCGGAAAAATTACATTCATTCATTTTTACGAATTTCGATTTTCGATTCCGACGTTCCTAAAGCATTTTTTTTCTGAATTTTCCTGAAACCTAAAGTTCCGAAAACCCTGGACATTATTCTCTCTCCTATAAAAAACATATCTACTAAATTTGGTGCTCAGAAGTTCAGAGTATTGAATAACTGGAAAATTAGTTAGATGAAAAAATTCCAAAAAAAAAGCGCGGACTATTTTTTTCACTCAAAGGTGGAGGAACATGAGCAAAACAATTTTCTCGAAATTCCTTCGAGGAGTTGAATTTGTGGGAGGCGAATATGGCACGCCTGTTCCTTGGACTGAATTTTTTTAGTTTCGAGTTCGCACGAGCTGGGAATTAATGGTTATGGCTCAGAAGTAGTCAACCCATGAAACTATAACCATATGTTTCTCTCTTCTTTTTTCCAATTTCTTCCATTTCTACGAACTCTCATTGTGGACTCATCTGACCCCCATTCTTTGCACATCTGTTCGACCCCATTCCCCCAGCCACACAACTCTTTTTCTTGTTTCACCTTATCTCCCAACACCTAACACATATATCTCTTCTCTCTCTTCCATTCCTTCTCGTTTTCACTTATCTCTATTTCATAATTCTGACTTGTCTCTATCTCTAAATCTCTGCCTCTCTCTTTTCATCCTCCCTCCAACACATTTTCAATTATCAAATGTTCTTGTTCCTCCATTCTGTCCTCCCACTCACACACATATTTTTTCAGAAGGAATCAAATCCGTCATCATTCTGTTTGACCATCTTCCATGGCGATTCCCGTCAGATTCCTTGTCTATGGTAAGTTTGAATTCTAATTTAATTCAACGTCTTCTCAATTTTTCAGGACTGAGCACCTCTTGCATCACCCTTCTCTATGCTCTCCGACTAGCTTTCCACTCTACAATAATATGTCAATTGGAGAATTCGACTGGTTAGTTTTTCCAAGTTTCCTCCTATCACTATTCGGGGTATCAATTCAATCAAATTGACAGTTTTTCTCTCCTCTCACTCTCTTTGATATGATATTGATAAGACACTGGTCATTCTTCGGATTCGCACTTTGACCAAAATAATTACAGTTTCATTTTTGCTCGATGAAGATCTCAAGCAGTACACATTCCAATCCGTTGGATTTGGGCTAGCCGTGGGATTGGTTCCATTGCATTTCTTGAATTTTTTGGGAACAAGGTATGTCCTATCTTCTCAGATGGTGTGAGGGCAATAATAGATGATATGTGCTTCCGGCGTATGACTACACAATCAGGTAGTGCGAGTAAAAGATGATAGATTGTGTCCAGCGTATGACTACTTGATTTGTAGTTTCAAACCGAAGAAAAAAATTCCGACTGTTTTTTTAAATAGATTTAATTAATGGGAATTTTTCTACTGTTCGATTTCAACAGTAAGGTGGTGTTTCCAAGAGCAGCGGAATATATCTGGCTATTTTAGATTTAGAAGTCATCCGATAATGCATTGGAAAATGTCGAAAAATAATAATTTTCATCTGAGAAATTCAACTCGTATATTCCAGAAATGTAACGACCATCTATGGGATCATCGGAATCCTCTCTGCTCTTTTCTACCCAACATCCTACCAAATGGGATTCTATGCCTCATTTGTCACTCGTCTTCTGCAAGGAGCTCCACTCGGGATCCTCTTATGGCTCATCGCAAAAGTGGCGACTGATTGGACACCAAAAACTGAAACTGCGATTGCAATCGCAATATTGACATCAGTTTACCAATTGGCTCCTTTTGTTGCCCAGATAAGTGCTGCCGAGATGTGCCAGTATTTTGGATGGGAGTACACTTACTACTTTTTGGCAGTGCTATGTGCAATTTCCCATATCGCGTTTTATTTTGTGTACACGGATCGCGTTGAGGATAACCAGTAAGTGGCTCACGTCACAGGGAGAAGATCAAAAATCATTTTCAGGCTTGCAAGTGCAGAAGAGAAGTCGTTGATATTGGAAGGAAAAGGAAAAAGCGGAAAGCAGGTGTCCGAAAATGTTCCATACTCTCAATTGCTTTTGGATCCAACAGTATGGGCTACCTGGTTTGCGAACCTCGCTTTCTTCTCGTCTCTTTTAGTTTTTCTTCAATATGGACCACTTTATATGAACCAAGTGCTAGGATTCTCTGTTAGAATAACGGGATACTCTGGAGGATTGGCTCATGTATTCTGTTTGTTTGCGAAGATTGTATTCGGAAAAGTAATGGACAAAAGTCAAATGGATATGACAAAGAGGTTGAAAGCTGCATGGACTGTTGTTGAGATCCCATCATTGGCATTGTTGTTAGCATTGATTATGGTAGGTAATTTCTGCAGTCCCAAACGACATGTTTCTACTTCCAGCTCCGCGACGTCTACATTCAAATGGCATGTATTGTGATTTTCATCACTATCCATGGTGTTGCCATTGTCATTATTGTGAAAACTCAGACCTATGTAAGTCTTGTCATTCGCGTCAGGACTGTGGCGCTGCCGGCTGGAGCCTCTTGATTAGAGATCATCTGAGATAAGTAGAGTACAGCAGCATAGCGGCACTAGTGGTTTCTAGGGCGGTGAGCATACTGAGCATACGGAATAGTTGGTTCCTGGCTACCTACCCAGGACCTGAGTCATGGCTTTGATTTGAACAAACTTTATTTCCCTGTAATCAAAGAATTATTCTTTCCAGAGATCCGCCGAGCACAACCACGTTCTTGCCAACGGGAACACCCTTTGCGTTGTTCTCTGTCTGTTCCTTCAACCGCTCATAGTAAAGTTCCTGGTCCAATCGAACACGTTTGATGAGGTGAGAGCCTTTAAAATATTGTTATCAGAATGAAAGTGCTGTGTCATGAGACAATAGTTTTTAGAGCATGTAAACATAGTGAGGTAGATTCTAGCTAGATGGTTTTATTTTGAAATTTGGCACGTTCTATTGAGGTCTAGAAACTTGTATCGTCTGAATTTGAAAAAAAATTAAGCCTTTTCCAGTGGTCTCGAGTCTTCGGTCTCCATGCCATCCTGATCCTTACCTCCGTCATCTTCTTCACATGCAAAGTGGATGCCACACCTGCTAAATGGACAGGAATCCAGAAAGTTGAGACAAAAATCGAGGAACCATAAATAGATTATGTACTTCGTTCAATTTGTACTAATTATACTTTGACGCTGCTTATTTCATTTTTCGGGTTATCATATCAAATCATCGTGTTTCAACACATACCTGCCACTCTGAATTCATGTCACTTTTTGAATCGTGTTCCGACTACGAATGAACCAAACTTTAAATTGAAACTTAAATAAAATTTTTAAAAAATTGATAACAAGATAATCAAAAAACTTCACACAGTTAGACTACACAGTTGATGTTTCATCATTTTGAAATGAGCACGAGACATGGAACGGTTTTCTTAGTCAAAGAGCACAGGTGGTCTATTTCGTTAAGAGTTCTATTCGATTTGAGTTAACGATGTGGGTGTTCGGCTGAACTGAGAACACCCTGAGAAACTATTTGCACTGTCTGGAACAAAGAAAAAGTGTTCAAGAGTTCACAAGTTAAATTGAGCAAACATGAGAAGCACACTTATAAAAGTCCAATTCAACTTTCAGGAGAGAAGAATTCAGACGACTTCTTGATTCTGAATCTTTCAACTTCATGCTGAACTATGTATTGCCGTATTTGCTCTGATAGAAGCATACCCAAACCATCAACTTTGAGCTCAATTGTCTGGATTCCTGTACAAGATATCAAAAATCTGTCAATTGATGAAATATTGGTGATACTAGGATAAATAATTTATCAGTTAAAAAGATTCTGATATCTTTTGCAGAAATCGAGATAATTCAGCTCAAATTAGAGTTTTTCGGTACTTCTAAAAAATTTTATAGCCCGTTCTTGGATCTTAAAGGTGGGGGACACAAACAACGATTTTCACAAATTACGCCCCTCCAGGAGTTGAACTTGTGGCTGGGGGTGCTGTGCTGTGCCACTACCGGCTGAGCTATGGTGGTTCAAGCCAAAAGGGGCCCAACTATGGTTCTACGGTGTTTCTGCAATGCTTCAGGTCCCATTCTTGAATTTTAGGACAACGTTGGATCGATTTTCACATCATGTTATTATCTAAATTTTCATCAAACTTTTTCCCCAATCATATGATTTCTGAGCTTCCAAAATTTTATGTGACACCTTTTGCTCTAGACACTTCAATTTTTTCTTGAAACCCATTATATTTTATGATCACTTCCACTCACCATATGCCAGCTACAACGTGCCGTTCTTTTTTTGCTGTATCTTATAAAAAATGCTTCTCACTCAGCTTCTTGCCCCGCCCCTTCTGCTCGTTTTCTTTTCTTATTTTTTCGAC